AAAAAAAAAAAAAAAAAAAGAGGTCTTTGTAGCAGACTTGCCCAATGCAATGTGTTGTTTATTTTCTTGTCTGCTGTTTCCATTGTTGTGAGGATTTTTGTTTTATGTTGAGGTGTAATCCATACTGAAGGCTGTAGTCTTTGATCTTAATCACTAAGTGCTCCAAGTCCTCAGTTTCAGCAAGCCAAGGTTGTGTCATCAGCCATTTCGCAGTTTGCTAATGAGTTTTCCTCCCATCCTGATGTTGCTTCATATAGTTCAGCTTCTCAGATCACTTGCTCAACATACACATTGAATAAGTATGATGAAAGGATATAATCCTGATGCACACCTTTCCTGATTTGAAATCATGCAGTATCCGCTTGTTCTGTTCAAACTCCTGGTCTACGTACAGGTTCTGCATGAGCACAATTAAGAGTTCTGGAATTCTCATTCTCCACAATGCTATCCATAATTTGTTATGGTTCACACAGTGATTTATGGGAAGTCCCGTTTCCACAACAGGAAACCTAAGTAATGGTAGATTGCAGTAGCAATGGCCCCCTATTTTCATGCCTCCTTGTATGCACACTCATTACATTGTAGCTTTGCTACCTGATGGATGAATTTAGGTTTGGCCATGTGCTTTACTTTAGTCAATGGGACAATAGCAAATGTGACACAATTAAAGGCTTAAAAAGTGCTTGAGCAATGGGGCTCTTGCAGTTGGTAACCCCAGCCCACTAGATGATGAGAGATCCCCTAGCTACCACAGTTGGAGCTCCAGACATGTGAGTCCCATCCAGCTTCAGCCTGAGCTGGCCAACTCAAGAATCATGAGAAATAAAGAATGCTTATTGCTTCACACCACTACATTTTGGGGTAGTTTTATAAGCAGCAAGAACTAGTGGATAGTTGATATGCAAGCTGGTCTACAACACTTTTGACTGGTCTGAAAAACTAGAGCTTTGCTGGTACTGAGTAATTTATGACCTTTTCTATATGCAAGTTTTGATTTATTCTCTGTCCATGTTTCTATACTCCTTACCCCAAATCCAAATAAATATAGCCTTAAGAGTCAGCAAAACTACCTTCACATTGCTGAATAGCTATTTCTTACCCTGAATTTCACTACCATCAAATAATTTAAGAAACCTAGAGTTCTTCCTGTAGAATATTTAATACAATGTAGTACTTGATTATGCCATTCTCATTATTTTATTCCTATTTAAAAAATATGAACTCTTAGAGAAAGGGGCCAGGGCTATGCATAGCTTCTGTGCTCAACATATTTGTAATAATAAATCATGTACCTAACTAGTAAAATGAGATTTACAACCAAATGTAGTGAAAACAAATAAACAAAAAGGGCTCGATTTCAGAGTAACCTTTAAATCAAATTCTAAGTTCTACACTGTAATTAATAAAACCGTTTAAAGGGAACAAACATCTTCTTTGCATAGGATGAAATATTAAGAACTGATATAGAGTTGCGTATAGATCATATTCATATATTCATATTCATATACATTAAGGAGTTATATATTGGGAAGTTTAAGACATAGATGGATCATTAAGAGTTCTTTTTATTCAGGTGAATAACAATGCCAGTGCTTTGTGATAAAATATACAATTCCCTGTTTAGATACTCTGCATTTTCTCTGCTGCTACCATGAGCAATTTAAATGTCTTTTTTTCCTTCCAGTCTTTTCTGAGACTGTTTATATGCTCTTGTATTTTGCTATCATTTAAAATTCACATCATTTTACTCTTTTAAAAATATGCTACATTGGCAGGCCTGAATTTTTAATACCAAGAATGTCAAGCTTACTATGAACCACAAACTTGGCCAAACTCCTACTGCCTTTAAGAAGCTACCCTATTTATCATTTGCATCAAATGACCATTTTGGTTTAACTTCATTTAATTATAAAGCACACATAATTCTTCTAAGTGGCCCACTGACAGTTTATAAAACCTAGATCAAATGAGACCCAAGAGTGTTAGGGCTTTGAAGTTGTGTTTTATTTTAATTCTAAAAAGAATGAAGATTTCCTTAAACTCTATAGCACAACATCTACCCTTCCAAGCATTCTAAAAATTTGAAAGGTAGACAGAAGACTTTTTTCACTACAAATAGAACAATCATTGGAGAGCTCATGAGCATTTCAAATATAATTATGAGCCATGCAAACCTGAAAGGTTCCTTCCTGGAGCTGTCCTCTTAAAGAGTTAAAGTCATTTTTTCAGATATTTTTCCAGAGCAGTTTATTTGAAGTACATAAAATGAAATAAAACAGTTCTATACAAAATAATAAAAATATTTTGTACTTTTACTTGCAAATTTATTTCATAAACAAACTATGAAAAGCACGACTAAACTACAAAGGATAGTTCTTGGCTTCTACCCTTTATAGCTAGAAAAATAAATTATTTTAATAGATATCTAAATCTGTTTCTTGTTGCCAGAGAAATATATTGTATATACATATATTTCAAAATTGTCTATACTAGTTACACAGACTTAAGACTGGGCAGATATTACTCTATTTTTTTCTACAAAGAATTCTAAACAGTCTTTAAAAAAGCTAACCTACAGTAACTTTCTACTAGAATGATCTGAATTTCATAAAATAATCATCCACAATTAGGTCCAAAGGTTGATTATGGTGAGAAACCTTACAACGCTATTCATATTCTTGAGAGAGAGCTTTATTCCCAACAGACATAACTTCTACCATTTCTGTATACTGTCACAGAATACATTTTCAATCCAAAATGAAGCAATACCTAGTTATTTGACTTTTTGCTTTTTTCTTGCTTGAAATTGCTCTGTTTTAGTTTTTATAGATTTAATCAGCATTGACAAGGAAGGATCAATAGACTTCTTTTGTGATTCCTTTTGAATCTCACTCTCTTTTTTCTTTATTGTCTGAGTAAATTCTTGTTCTTTTTGTTCTCTTTGCCGGACTTTCTCCTCAAGGATCTTTTCCATAGCTTTTGTTTTCTTGAAATTAGGATCTGAGGGATCCAAATTAAATAAGTGGGAAGTATACATTGCCTGAAACCGTATATCCTTAACATTTACCTGCAAACCAAAAGGAAAAAAAAATTAGTAAACCATAACGCCAAGAAATAGGCCAAAATTCAGAGTCAGAGAGGTACTGATTATATGAAATACATTCATTCATTAAAAAATTATTTTTCTACAGATGTTCAAAGGAGTTTTAAGGCCCACCTCTGGATTATAACATACAAAGGACAATGTTCTTATTATGTAATGACAATCTACTTGAATGGGAACTATAGTGCATGACACTGGTAACTTAGACTAATCAACTGTAGAAACAGTTTTCAAGGCAGGGCTTCTTCATGCTTACAATGTAAAATCTGTTTCTGATGGGTATAAACACCTACCTATGACACTTCCTGCTGGAGTTTTATGCAAAGCATAAAGCAGTGTTAATCTCTGAATTCAAAGTACATTTTAAGAAATTTTAACCTTGGTGCCAAAAATGAGTAATTATTGAGGTGATCTGTAGATTAAAGACCTTAAAGACCATTATGGGAAAGACCAGGGTCTGTTCAGATAAAGGCCCCAAATATATCTTCTATCTTTCTAGAAAAATATCATGGTTCAACACTTAGGAGTGTACCTTAACTTCAGCCCAGCATTTAACTTCGAGTGTTGCCAGGTACAGGGGTGAGTGGCAAGAAAGAAAGAATAGTTTACTGCCACCAAGCACTAATATGAGTCCACCTGGAGATGGGTCAGAGTAATGACAACAGATGTGAAAAGTATTTTCATGCATGATTATTAATATGTGGAGGCAGTTGTAATAATAGAAGATTTGATTACAAACCATTTTTGCTTTTAGCTCTTCATAAGAAAATCAATTCACTGAAGAGCATAATGGAAGTGATTAACATAAACTAGAACCTGCAAAGTGGTCTCAAGGTCCTTCTACATGGTACTTAGAAGTTATATGTGTATTTCCTTCCATCCTTTTGCAAATTCAAAATGTCTTCAATGTTCTTCCATGCTAATGGTTGGAAATCATTAAGTAGTTCTTGACCACATTTGTAGGTTTTCTGTAAAGGGCTCAAACTCATGCCTAGGAACTCTGGGGCCATTAAGAGTATGTAGTCACCAAAAAATAGGGAAAAAAGTGAGAGATAGAAATAAGAAACAGAGCAATTAAAACTCATTGTAATGGCCATTTTATAGTGAACATTACCTTACATAATGCAAGCCTATTTCTCAGTTGGGCTTAATTCTGCATACTTTTCTTAGCATAAGCATCACACGGAGGGTGACTCTAACAAAAGCTACGTATTTTTGGTGTAACATGGTACCAAAAGATAAGCCACTACTTCACCTGGTGTTCAACCAAAGACACAGTGATCTGATCACCCATACTGGGGATCAGTTGGCTTTGCTAGCTGACTGAAAGATGGTAGCTTTGGCTCCAACATGGGGCCTTTCTGGGGCATCTTCAACGACAGGTTGAAATACATTCAATTTTTGCCTAGGGCACCGATTTTAGACTAAACTTCAGTTTTAAGAAGCTAATGACTTATGTTCCTGGTATTACCTCAAAATCATCCTCTAATAATTCCTTCTTTTTCATGAGCTGTTTTTTCTTCTTTTTGCTCAGATTCTGGTGCTCCACTATCATCTTGTAATTGAAGTGCTTCCTGCTGTCCTCCTCTTCCTCATCCATCATCAGCAAAGCCATTTCAGCCTGTGGAGAGCAGCAGTTCAAATATACAAGATACCATCATTGCTAATAAGTAGAATGGTGCACAGACAGGAAAGGAGAACTCAATCACTAATGCTCCAGGGTAACATCTTCATCTGCAATCTGACTGTGGATTACCAAAATTCATACAGAAACCCAGAGATCAATGCACAGTGATAAAGTAGTCTTGAGAAGCAACATCAACACTGAGAGAATGAGAGGAGTGAAAGCTTGTATTTAAAAACCAGACTACATTTCACTGAGTGTAACTAGTAAGCAGGCTGTAGAAACAAGACTATCCAAACAAGAATTTCTTGTTTTCATTTTGGTCTTTTAGAAAGACACAAAAATCTAGCAAATGTGTAATATTTTGTATTCAGCAAAATCTCAAAACAGGTATTTTCACATGGAATTTATTTACTGTTTTAATAATGACATTATTTCTATCAAGTCACACTCCTAACATTTGTTTCTGAAATCTAACATAATGACTGTTTCTTTTAGCGACCACAGGATTCAACATGAAACCTGAAGAATCAAGTACACCATCATGTCTAGTGGAAAAAACAGTATACTCCCAGGCCTTTGTGAATCTTCCCATATTATTACTTCAGACTGTTTAATTTCCTTTCTCTTCCATCACTGGCACATACAGTTGGCTTCTAGAACCAGTTTCCTGTTATTGTGAAAATAACTTTTTGAGCATTTAGTATATGCAATGAGTGGGGAAAAAAAAAAGATTCAGGAGTCAGTTGGCCAGTCAGACTCACACCCAAGTAGTAACATATCAGTCAGCCTTAGGGCACTGTCGACTCCAACTCTTGCCCTAGCAAAAACACCACTCTGTAACCAATGGGATCTTAAAAGCTTGCAAGCAGCCATCTAGATACAATGATGGGTCTCTCCTGATCCAGAGCAAAGAAGAATGAAGAAAATCAGATTCATGGAAATAATTAGTCCTAGTGACTGGTATACCATGCGATCCGCAGCCTATATGACTATGAGACCAGAAGAACTAGATGGTGCCTGGCTACTACTGCCAACCACTCAAAGGTGGATCTATGTAGGAGATCCTGGATAGAAAGGGAGAACAATGTGGAACAAAACTCAAAATCATTTGCGGGGGGGTGAGGTGGGGAAGAAGGGACCAGGTTTGCTGGTCTGATAGAGCCTGGTGGAACCACTGAGACTATGATCCTTAGCTCCCCGTCAGGTCTGGAACTGAACCCACACCTGTGGCTTCCAGCCAAACAAAAGACAGGCATATGAGGTGAACATTTACCTGAGGTAGATATACTCCTTGGAAAGAACAATCATGGGAGAAAGAAGGGCTGTTTATGCACAGGGGGATAGCTCAGGGGGCAGGAGTGCATGGAGGGATGGACATAAGGAAGAGGTAATTATCGGGAGGAAGTGGGAGGGGAGCTGTTGCACTGTGGTAAATTGTAGTCAATATCATGAGATAGTGTATGTGAACTGCTGTGTGGAAAGTGAATTTGTTTTGTAAATTTTCACCCAAATCATAATTAAAATAAACAAAACAAACAAACAAATCAAACTGCATCATGGACATTTGGGGTCACTAAAGTACAAGGCCTATTGCATTTCTAAGAAATACTTTAATTCTGTACATACTTATGTTATTTGCAATCATAAAGAGAGAAATTAGCATTTAACAAGTTGTAAAGGTGAAGTCTGTATTACAAGATAGATTCAAATTGAATTAAAATTCATGGCAATACTCTATTAGAGGTTTTAATAATATGTTGCCAAAAGCATGTGCTTCATAATAGATTTTTAAAATAAATTGTTAAAATCAGTTATTTTTTAGTCAAGGATCCTACAAATTCATGTGAAAAACAATTTCAATTATACATATCAATTACCCACTGTTGTTGTTGTTGTTAATGTGCCGTCGAGTCGGACCCGACTCATAGCGACCCCTCCTTGGGTTTTGAGGTGGTATCACTATGGAAGTAGATTGCCCAGTCTTCCTTCTGAGGAATGGCTGGTGGATTTGAACCGCCAGCTTTCTGGTTAGCAGTCAAGTGCCTTAGACACTATGCTACCAGAGCTCCCAATAAGCATGTAATAATGATCACATTTTACCTTTTGTCTTTCTATTTCAGTTTCTTCCTCTGGAGATGTGCCACCTTTTGCAGATTCCACTGATTTTTTCTTTATACCTGGCACAATGCACCGACATAAGAAGGTTAAAAATGATAGGACTATAAGCAACAATCTGTCTACACTTGTAACAAAAATAAAAGGTATCTAGAAATAATCTTAAATAAATATATAGAACCTGAAGGGGGAACAAAAAAAGTTACTGAGAGAAGACTATAGGCATGAATGCAACAAATACAATGCTTCTGAATGAGAAGACCGAATATCATAAAGAAGGAAATTTTTCTGAAAGTAATGTATTATTTACCTCATCCATGATGTGAAAAAGAAAAATTGTAGATCATGTCAATAGATGTAAAATCATCATTTGATAAAAGTCAACATCTATTCATGATAAAACATGTTTAATGAAATTTCAAGTAAAATTCCATTTAATAAAATCTTGACAAAGTTTAATGAGATGGATTTGATATACCAGTATACTAATGATATAGTATACTAAAATATGCCACAAAGTGAAAATAATCAATTACTATACTATATACTACTAAGAACAATGAAAAGAGTATAGTTTAATATATAAATAAAATGTAGCATCATTCATTAGTGGAAAAAACAGGGTAAATTATTTAATTCTTGATTTTAAAAAAATCAATCTTACCTTATATATATAGGAAAATAAACTGCAGATGGATTAAAAAGTTAAACATTAAAAATAAACAAAACAAACCAATGAGAAAACATAGGGGAATACCTACTCTTGGAATAGAAGATACATTTTCTTAGCATAAGAATAATAGAAGAAATCTCAAAGAAAATATAAACCTTAAATATACATACTCCTAGAACTCTATATAAGGAGCTCTGGTAGCATAGTGCCTAAGGCACTTGACTGCTAACCAGAAGGCTGGCGGTTCAAACCCACCAGCCACTCCTCGGAAGGAAGGTTGGGCAATCCTACTTCCGTAGTGATACTGCCTCGGAAACCCAAGGAGGGGTCGCTAGGAGTCGGGGCTGACTCGATGGCAAATAACAACAACAACAACAACAACAGAACTCTATATATTAAAAAAAAAAAATTATAGGCAAAATGAATAGCTTATCTTTGCAAGAACAATATGGCCATCACTACATGTAAGTAAAAGTTTAATAAAACCTTTTCTCCTGTAAGAACAAATTTGATACTGGGTTAACTTTCTATTACCAGGCACAACTGCTTACAGTAAAGTAGCTCCTGACTGAAAAACTGAATGCACTGAGAACTCTCTAAGTATCTCTAAGTTTAGGCTTCCCTGAATATGGTGACTCTTGTAAGTGGTGTATGTCCTTTGCAGAGAGCTGGAAGCTATACTTAGAGGCTGTTTTTCCCCTTCTTGCCATTTACTTTTGAGCTTCTTTGCTGGTTCCTTCGTATTTTCCTGATCTCTAAGTATTAGAGGGCCTCAGGGCTCAGCTCTCAGATCTCTGTGAACTCTCAAGGTTCTTTCATTCAACTCCATGTCTTTAAACGTCTTTATTGTTGACTTTTTATTTTTATTTCTAGTCTTAACACCTTCTCAACTTTAGACTTGTGCTCCAACTGCCTACTTGAGATCTCTTTTGCCCCAAAAATAACACTACAAAAATCTATTTCCAAGAACTTTTAGAAATCCTTCCTTCAGCATTATAAATAAATTAATTGTTTAAGCATGGACCAAACAACAGCTCCTTTAGGAATAAAGCAGATGTGGGTAGTATGTTGCAAAAAAAGTCATTGCAATTATCAACACTGACTCTCACTGACTCAAGGGCTTTTGGAAACACAAGATGTTAGATGCCATACTCTTATCCTGAATGAGAGGAAATAATGTACAGTGTTTAAGAGAATCTCTACCTCTCTGCTTGATTAATCCAAAGAATATAAAAGCAATTCCTAAGAGCTCATGCCTTTAAAAAATCCTTCTCTTTACAGATTCTGCCCATTTTACCTTTCATAGTAAAACTTCCTGAAAAATCATCTATATTCTTCATCTCTGCTTCCTTAAATTTCACTCAAACTTTAAACCACATTAATCTAATGAAACTCTGGATGCAAGATCACCCAATGAGCTCTCCCACCCCACCAAATCTCCCAGACACTTCTCAATAAGCCTAGGAGAACCTGACTCAGTCAGTCACACCTCTCCTTCTGTACATATTTCTTCTCTCTTGGATCACGTGACACTAGGCTAGTGTTTTTCCTTCTATTTCAGTGGCTGTTTCTTCTCAGATTTTTAAAGCTTTTCCATACCTTCAAGTACCTTCTCCAGTACTACAGATAATAGTACAACGCTTGTAGGCTTTACCCTAGCTCAGGATCCTATCCTGTATCCTCTTCTCTAATGAATGCTTTCTACCTAGTACTGAAAACTCAGTCTCATGATGTGAAATACTAATTATGTGATCTGACTCCTCAGTTTATATGTGCCCTCTGACCTGATGTGTTATACATAAACATCAACCCAATATCTCTACTTGGACATCTAATTGACATCTCAGAGCAATTATTTTCAAAATGGACCTACTGACTCTTCCCTTATCTAAACCTAATTTACTGTTCCTGCACATCTCCCCAACTTAGTAAATGGAAATGTATTCACTTAGAGATTCAAATCAAACGCTAGGAATCATGCTAAATTTCTTCCTTATCCAAATACATCAGCAAGTCTACCTCCAAAATAAATCTAGAATCCTAATCACTTTTCTCTTTTCAGTTGTTATTGGCATGCTGTCTAAAGTACCATCATCTTACATGTAGACCACTGCAAAAACCCCATCTTTCAGCTCTTATGAATGTCTTTTTAAAATCTTTTCTCCTCATAGGAACTGGAGGAATGTGTTAAAATATGTATCAGATTATCACATCCCTGCTTAAAGATCCTTCAGTGTCTCCCACTGCTTGTAGAATAAAATCAAATCTGTGGTCATGACAAGGCCATGCATGGTTGGTTTCTGCCTATTTTTCTAGCCTTAATGCATACTAAACTCCCTCTCTGACCATGCTATAGTCACACTGGTGTCTTTAATTTTTTCAACAAGTTCTTTCTCCCTTATTGACTTTCTATCCACTTTTCTCTCCGTTGTCAACACTCTTCCATCAACTCCTTATGCTTAACTCCTCGTTCTACATGTCTCACCTCGGAAGCTTTCTTTGCCTAGCCTATCTGAATATATTTCCATATCCCCTTCTTCCTCCAGTTATATTCTCTGTATTGCTCTATTTCTTCCCTTCAAAGCATGTACCATAGTCTGATAAAATTCTTATGTATTTACCTGTATAGCATCTGCCATCTGTAATTGCACATAAACTCCTTAATTTAAACTTGCTTAATACTGCTGTATCTCTAGCTTAGCGGAATGCCCAGAACCTGGTATACATTCAAACATATTAATAGAATGAATAAACAAACTGGCAAGATACCATTTTTTGTTCATAATTTTTTAATGTACACAATTCTCAGGCTTTTCTTATTCCTTTCCAAACAATAGCTTAAGCTCAACTATAAGCATTTACTTCTAGGAAGCATTCTCAAATCAAATGTATACTGAAAGCAAGTTAATTTTACATATCTCTCTTCTCTCAGAACTTCTGATACTAACTTTGCACAAAGCTTGGACACATTTAAATGTACATAGTCCAATACACAGGCTACCCTAACCCCGCAAACTTACTTCTAATTCTACTCTGAGTTCTACAATCTTACCAGATTTCACATGCCAAATGGAGGACTTTGGAATGAGAACAAGGAAACTTTAATGTTTTGCATTTCTCCATGATAAACTTGGTTTCCTGAAATCAGAGGATAAGGCTAAAATCCATCATCTTCTAGAAATGACCGCTCAGGTATGATAAACAGCAGAATATGCAAAGTTTCCATTTCCCTTTCCAATTCTCAAGAATCTTACATCCTACAATAGACTTTATTCATCTTGATCTCTTTTTCATCAATAAAATGTCAGTGCTCTAAGGCTGTAACAACCAGGAAACAATTTTCAGCAATTTTGACTTTCCTGTTGAGAACTATTCTGGCCCAGTAGTCATGAAGGACAAGAAGCAGAGAAACTTTATAAAACCTTTCTCTTACAATGCCAGCTTGAAATTGTTCCAGGTGCAAGCCTTTTGGGGTTCATGTGTGTGGTATAAAGATCAGGGGAAGGCAAAATGCCTGAGAACAAATGGAAAATACTTACGGTATTCTCTTCATAGACTTGTGCAAGTATGGGTTGGACCTTACCACACATTTACACATATCAAAAAGGTAAGAATGAAAGCACTGAGAACAGAATGGGGTAAATGGTGCATAAGCAATGGAAACAAAGCTTCATGGATATAAAATATCGGTTAGTTTTGAGATTCAAGGAAAAAAGGAAATAAGAGAAAAGGTGATTTTTAGCTATAATGAAGAAGATAATTACAAAAGGCATAAATGGCACATAGATGCTTTTGTGTATTTAGGCAGAAAAAGGTTTATAATAACATACCATGTATAAATTTTAAAAAATTAATTTATATACACATCCACAACAAACAAACAGTTTCATTTCACATTTTCAATTCTTCATAACTTATACAAAGAGAAACCTAGAGGGGATGTTTTATAAAAAAGTGTATCAGCAAAAGCAAACAAGATGAGTATTTCTTCTATTTACTCTCATTGTCTCATAGAGTAAATCTGGTTTTCCTATAAGGATATTTCCCAGAACGGAATCCCAGCAAATTTTTAAATTAACCATGTTACCCAGAGCCTCCTATAAAGAAATGACTCCTGTATATATAGGGACATGCTGCTGACTCTTCCCTATCTGATCAACAATTACTCCCCACAGGATAGAACTGCTTATAAGCCAATAAGGGAACAATACAAATTTTAGGTATTTTTAAAGAAGGACTAGCTTATATTGTTTCTACCAATGTCAACTTTTTTCTTTACATTCCAATTGAAAATTACAAATACAGGCTGACTTACCAATTTTTTTAACTTCCTCAGCAAAGTATGGGTCACTCATATCCACATCGGAGGGCAGTTCATCATCTTCACTGGTCTCTTTAGCAAGAGCCTTAAAGTTGAATATGAAAAATAAACAAAGTTTCATGATTATAAGGATTGTAATAGACAAAAACTGACTCATAGAGACCCTACAGGACAGAGTAGAATTGCTTCATAGAGTTTCCAAGGCTGTAAATCTTTCCAGAAGCAGAATGCCACATTTTTTTCCTGCGGAGTGGCTGGTAGATTCTAATCTCCAACCTTTTATCTTTTGGTTAGCAGCTGAGCGCTTTATCCACTGAGCCACAAGATCTTGAAGGATTTTATGCATGTAAAAAAGTAAAACATATACATTTCTTTAAAATCAAGTAGTTCAATCTAAAATTACACCATTTTTTCAATGGTTTATAAAATAACTACCAGCAAAGTCACTGTTTTGTTTGTTCAACAAGTATTTATGAAACAATAAATACAGGAAATCATGTAGGGATTTTGGAAGAAAATGAAATTATCAGACCCATGGTTTTTGCCCTAAAAATTATTGTACTCTTTTAAAGGAAATGAGGCATATGGACATGTATGCTAGTAATAATTCAAGACAGCAAGTACTTGAAGAGACATACAGTGAAAAAGACATTCAAAGGAAGAGATTACTTTTAGATGTGTGATCAGTGAAAAGAAGTGGCCTTATCTCACACAAAATACAGAAATGGCCAATTACCAAGAGCTTGAAGTACTGTATTGTGAGTTACCTTTTAAATTGTTATTTAAAACTATTTATTTGCTGGTTAATCAAAAAGGCTTTTAATTTGAAAAATTTCAAACATATAATAGTATTAAGGATAAGATAACAAACCTTTGTTTCTATGATCCAATTTTAACAGTAATTTTGTTTATCTATACCCACTTTCAAAATCTGTTGGATTATTTTAAGCAAATCTATTTGTAAAATGTCCTCTAATCAAATTTAAACACACTGTCTACAAATCATTATAATCAAATTAAAAAACCAAGCCTGTAAAACTAATAGAACACATACATGTGAACTAAGAAGTGAAAAACTGAATTGAGACTTATTTGCAGCAATATAAATTATGTCAAAACTATAATAATTAAAAGTTGAGAATGGATATTGTTAAATAGAATGCTACATGCCAAGAAGACCAAGTAAGCCCTAAAGGATACTCATTTTGATATTAATAAGCCTTTTAAAACAAGCGCTTATCAGAATTTTCCACCAGACTATTTTAATGGATTTAGCAGTAACATGATGTTTTTAAAGGAGCTCTGGCAGTACAGTGGTTAAGGCATGTGGCTGCTAATGAAAAAGTCAGTGGTTTGAATTCACCAGCTGCTCCATGGGATAGATGACACAGTCTGCTTCCGTAAAGATTTATAGCCCTGGAAACCCCAAGAGGTCACTGTGAGTTGGAACTGACTCAATGGCAGTGATTTTGGTTTGGTTTCAATAATGTTTTTTAACATCATTGGTTTCAATGATGTTTATGACTATCTTCTCACACATATAATTAGCTGCTTAAAAACTATACCCCACCAAAACCAAACCCACTGCCATCAAGTCGATTCTGACTCACAGACAGATAAAGCAGAACTGCCCCATAGAGTTTTGAAGGCCGCAGATCTTTACAGAAGCAGATTGCCAAAACTTTTTCCTATGGAAGGGCTAGTGGGTTCCAGATACCACCTTGTGTTTAGCACTTGAGGGCTTTAACCACTGTGCTACCAGGACTCCTTTATAGACTCGGGTTATATCAAAATACTAAATATCATGGCACATAAACATGTAGTCCTTTATTCAGCAATAATCTCTCAATATTAAAATTGAAGGCAAAAAGAGGGCAAAAATATTTTTAACTTGAAGGGAATTCTTGAAACTCCTACTATATACACAGAATTTGTGGAGCTTAGAAGGGAATTCCTGGAGTCACCAAGTCTAGTACAGAACACTAAGTCTAGAACATGCTGGCCAACCAACACATGTATTTTGAATATGAAAAAATGAGTCCAGTTTTTCCCCTATGAAGAGGAAGAGTGAAAGCACAAGATGCCCCAAGTGCCTAGCAAATGAAATTCTGCAAAAGAGCTGGGAGATGGCAGAAGTAAGTGACTACTTTTGTTGAACCCATAAAGACCCATCTCAAAAGTCTTCTGATAAACTGTTGGCTTAATCACTTGTGAAATTACTACATTTAAAAGATATTTGATGGTCTCAATTTCACAAGAAGTTCTAGGGAAGAAAGACAGAAAAACTGAATATAATAGAAGTACAAAAATTATTCCATTGCATCATCCAATTCTGTAGCCCTCTATCTTTACAATCACTAAAAAACATGGCTGTACCAAAAGCATTACAAATTACAGAGTATAAAGAGAAACAATATGGTACAGTAGAAAGAACACTGGACAGAAAGCACATAGATTATGGTCCCAGCTTGATCACTAACAGTCTGTGTAATCTCAGATGAATCATTTAATTTTCCACAACTATGAAATAATAGGGTTGGACTAGAACTAATTATTTTAAACCTTCTCAAGTTCATAAATTTCTTACTACCAGTGAGAATATCTTAAGGCATGACTCTATTAGCAGAATGCTGCGATTTCAGTGACAAGATAAATAGTATTTTTAGTGATAAAACCCTTAAGTTGTCTCTCCTATTACTGGGGACACTAACTCTGGAAAAGATGTTATTCTCCGAATATGGTAGTAAAATTAGATTTTCTACAGATATGGTATTAGCACAGAGGAAATATTCTTCTGGGGAAAAAGAGAATTTAATTGCAAATTTTTATACCAGTGGTCACAAATTTTTCAATTAAATAAAAACTGTTGTTGTTGTTATGTGCTGTCGAGTCGGCCCCGACTCAGCGACCCCTCCTTGGGTTTCCGAGGCAGTATCACTACGGAAGTAGATTGCCCCATCTTCCTTCTGCGGAGTGACTGGTGGATTTGAACCGCCAGCCTTCTGGTTAGCAGTCAAGTGCCTTAGGCACTATGCTACCAGAGCTCCTAAATAAAAACTAGGTGTATAAAACTTGGTAAGGGTAAAATATGTTGAAGTGGACAACACAGAAACTAGTCACATAAAATTGTACTTAATAATCCAATATTATAACATTTTACAATTTACTAAGGCTAAAATGAAAGTCCACATTTGTCTGTCAGTTTGTTTGTACTGTGGTTTCAAATACCAGCAGGGTCACCCATAGTGGACAGGTTTCATTGGCACTTCCAGACTAAGATGGACTAGAAAGGAGGACCTGGTAAACTACTTCTGAAAAATTGGCCAGTTAAAGCTTTATGAATAGCAGCGGAACATTGTCTGACACAGTGCCAGAGGATGAGCCCCTCAAGTTGCAAGCCACTCAAAATGTCACTGGGGAAGAACTGCCTCCTCAGAGTTGACCTTAAAGTCATGGATAGAGTCAAGCTTACTTTAAGACCTTCATTTGCTGATGTAGCACAACTCAAAATGAGAAGAAACAACTGCAAACATCCATTAATAACAAGAACATGGAATGTATGAAGAAGGAATCTAGGGAAATTAGAAACTGTAAAAAAAAAAAAAAAAAAAAGACATGGAACATATACAGATTGATATATCCTAGGTATTAGTGATCTGAAATACACTGGTATTGGTCATTTTGAATGAGAAATGTACAGTCTACTATGCTGGGAATGACAAATAGAAGAGGAATAGCACCACATTCATGATTAAAATGAACATTTCAAGATCTATCCTGAAGTACAACACTGTCAGTAGCAGAGTAATATACATATACCTGTAAGGAATGGCAGTTAATATGACCATTATTCAAATTTACATATCAACAACTAATGCCAAAGACAAATAAATTATGATTTTTAGCAACTTCTACAATCTGATATTTATCAAACATGTAATCAAAATGAATTAATAATTACTGGTAATTGGAATGTGAAAGATAGAGACAAAGAAACAGCAGGAAAATAGGGCCTTAGTGACAGAAACTACACTAGAGATCACGCGATAGAATTCTGCAACTTATTCACTGCAAATATCCTTTTTCAACAGCATAA